TTACACACACACACACACACACACACACACACACAAATATCTACTTAATGGAAAACCCAATTTTCCATTAAAAAACAATTTTAATGGAAAATTTTTGTCCATGTCTTTTGTAAATGCTTTTGGGTCTGATCCCATGCTTTTGAAGTTAACGGGAACGTTTCCTTCACTTCAATGAAAGCAGGAGCAGGGCCTTTGTGCCAAAGGACCTGAGTAAATTTCACCCTCTATCGACCCTAGGATAATCAATTACACAGCTCTGGAAAATTCCATCCCGAAAACTGAAAGATCCAGAAAGTTAAAAGCATCTGGAAAATGAGGGGTGGAATGGAGACAATCCTTGGTTGAGATTTTAAAAGCCAGCAAGATGGTTTTGCCACACAAACCCTTTTGATATTCAGGGGAATTGTGTTGCTGAATCCTTCAGTCAGCTTTTGAAATCTCAACTCTTATCTTTGGGTGTTGCTAGTGCTCCAATTATAGCTCCATGCGAAGGACAAACTCATGGTAGGGACTCAAAGGGGCTTGAGCAATAGGTAATGAAGATTTCTACTCAGCATGGCTCATGGCCTAATTTTGGGACCAATGTTATTACTTATGGCTTAATCTGGGCCAATCACTCTTTTCTGCAGCATCTTCGCCATCATGGCAGCACCAGGAAGCACGGCCAATGGGGTGCTTGTGTTCATGCCCCCAAACAGCGCTGGCATCATCCACCAAGGCCAGGGGGTCTCTGGTGCCATTTCCCAGACTCCTGAGATGGTGCAATGTGGGCCTCAGCAGTTCAGGATCATGAACCCTGGGAACCAACCTCTTGGGTCAGTGTACCCTGGGAGTCCCGCTGAACAGGTCACACAGCTGAGGCAAATGGGGATGACGGAGAGATTCCTCAAAGCACAGTCTAAGACCCTGGGGGTAAGTGTGATTTTTGCTCTCAGTCCATGAGAATGAGTCATTTCAATGCAGAAGGGCCTAGACAGGTGGATGAAGGCCTGAGCATGAGCAAACTCCAGATTCCACCCTTTTCTTTTTACTTTAATGAACAGCTTTATAGGAAGGTTGCCAAGAAGCTGGTACCATCAAGTGACTTGGAATCTCTGGGACCCAGGGTAGATCTGACCTCTTCTTGAGAACTTATTTCTTTGTGAGGGAAGGGAAGGAGAAGAATGCACCCAGAGTTCCAGGGACAGTGAATCCTCCTAGCTACCCAAATAGGGAGAAATAAGGATTAATCGATCAAAGGAGAAACAGTGGGGTAAAGGATTATAAATCAGCTGTTTCTGTAACTAAATGAATGAAACTGCCCCAAGGTGGCAGAGGCCATCTCGGAGAGGAAGGGACTGCAATTCAGCTCCTGTAAATCAATGTAGCTTCATTGTGCTAATTCACAATGGCCGTGGATCTGGTCTGAGAAGGAGCAGTTCAAACCCAGGGTCCCTCTCCTAGTTACTGCAGTTCAGAGCTGATTCCCTTCAGCCTTGAACTAATAGTGAAATCAACCATGTGCAACTTCTATCAATCAGTCTAGAGCAGGGATCGGCAACCTTTGGCACGCGGCTCGCCAGGGTAAGCACCCTGGC